GTTAAGCTCTGAGATACACTCACTATCCTCAGACATAAAGCCTTTTCCTTCCTTTTCTGTCTTCAGCCGATACCCACCAGCCCAATCAGCACCTCCCCTACACCCGGTGGAACTTTGGGCATGTCCAAAATGGATGGCTCCAACATGCAGGATGTCTTTATCCTCTCTCCTGTCTCTGGACTCTACAGCACCAGGTCAGACTCTTGTGCACACACACACATACATTTGATGATGACCATTACTCTGATTATTATGATCCAGCTGATGACAGTGATAATGACAGCTCTGCTCGCTCCAGGGAGGAGCTGGGTCTGATGTCATGTGATGACATTGGTCGCTATAGCGTGAGCTCCCAGTCTGGTTCCAAAGGTTCAGAGGCAGTGAGTTACTACCTAGATCAGGACAGCGGTCAGTATTTCTCTCTTCTGGAGGGAGATGGGCCACCAGGACCTGACTACGACAGGGCGCGTAATACAGGGGTTCGCCGACGGGACAAGACCCCCACTCATGGTAAGATGGCGAGTACAATCCAACAGTGCGAATGAGCCAGGAATGGCTCTGGCTCCCTATGTTCTTTTTTTAAAGCATCATGTTCTCTCACACCTTTTCTTTTCACTTTTTCTCAAAACTCCTCCTCATGCTTTCATCACCCCACTCCGTGCCGCTGCTTCTTTATATCTTTACCTCATGCACACACATCCCAAAAACACTGATTACATGCCAGAGGTTTAATTCAGAGACACTGGCTCCAGCTCCCTGTATGCCCCACAACCTGTGTCAACCCTGTCCCAGACAGCTTCCCAGACAGCTTCCCAGACATCCTGTACCTTGGGAGACTCTCGAGGAACTGCTATAATCTTCCAGGAAAGGGTCATGTGAAGCCAACTGGAAGCTTATTCCATGATAGCCCTGCTGTACTTGTACTGTAAGAAGGTAATCAGTTGAGCACTTAAATACACCTTATTGAATTCTTATGTGAAAACAGCTTATGTTTAATCAGATTTTAAAACCAAATTTAAAGCAGTACTTATAAATATGTACCATATACAGTATGTTAATGATGGATTAGACGTCCATGTGTAATATGAAAAGGGTAACTTGTAGTGATAAACCTACAGAAAATTATCACCCAACACTGCCCCTCTTTAGCTTCTTCTGCTTCATTGTTTTGGTTTTCTGGCCCACAAATTCAAATCAACACCATTTATAACACCTGTAAATGATTTTTTTTTTAATAGCTCTGTTATATTATGTGCTGCTTGTTCAGCACCAAAAGGCAGACAGGCAAAGTCAGTCATTAACTGGTAAACATAGTGGAGCATTTAGCAGCTAAAGAGCAAGATATTTCAGAAGTCACATTATACATAACATTAGGTTTGCCAGAAACACAACTCCACATGAATGAGCTGAATTTGTCAATAGGCAATATACCTTTTCAGCAGCAGACATTTTGGGAAGTCATAACAGAAAAAGCACAGGTGTAAAATGAGAGCGGGCCACTTGATGCAACTGAAGCATCATTAATTTGTTTCACCTGTGCGTTTCCTGCTGTGACAAGTCAAAATAGCTGCTGTGATAAAGGTCTGTTGTGTGCAAACCTATCTGTAACAACAGTTAAAGTGCTATACAAATAAATGTAAATGAAAACTCACCAGTGGTTATCGGCCAGGAGTAAGCATGTTAACAAATGAGCAAGCTGGCACTACTGCTAGCTCGGCTACCCCTGCTGGAATGTACTAAAAGTCAAAAGTCAAAAAAACAAAAAAACATAAAACAAACTGACTTAACAGTATAAGCTGACAATGTGGCCATGTGACCCTTGCCTTGCATGTTGTAACATTCCTTAGAAAGCCTCCTGCTCCTTTCCCCTCACCTGCACACAGTCTCACCTGTCCTCCCCTCCAGCCGTCTCCCACGCTGTCAACACCTTCCAGTGACACCCCTATTCCCTCCCCACAGCCGACTCTCTTATTGCTGATTGGTTGTTCCAGGTGACCTCAGACCTGTTTCCATGCCTCCCGAATATAACTGGATGGCCGAGGCCAAGGAACCCAGCATGGGAAAGAGAGGGAGCCGAGGTACACACATACACACACACACACACACACACACACGACAAAATACAGCCCCTCACATACCTAACACAAAGTGGCAGGACTGGCACCGTGCTTTACTCCATACTCAACTCAACGCATTTCAGCTCATCTTTTGGTTATCCATAGTGGCGTGTTGTGTGAGGATACATATCTGCCTGGTATGTATCTGTCAGAGTGACAAATAAACATAAATGCAAGGAAATTGCATTTATACAGCTGCTCTGGAAATGAGAGTATTTCTGTGTAACCAATTCTAACCAGCTTTACTGGTTTGGGTGAGACTTGATCTGTATTCACCCGAGGATCCTCCGTTCCACCACCAGAAAGTCTATGAATAACATTAAAGCACAATACTCCTGTCAGGGGGTCTGCCTTTCTGCCTCTCTTTCTCTCAATCACCTTTTAGGTTTTCACATTTAAGTATATGGATAATAAACAAATTAGGTGATAAGCTTTTTCTAGCTATAGCTAAAGTGGAATAAAACTTTCTGTGACTGAGGAGATTAAGTAGAGGTGCCCTCCAAATAAGCATAATCATTGTAGATTAGCTGCATATCTCCAGCTGTGGGTTCCTGTCAGATACTACAGCTTTGAGCTACTTTTGTCCCTTTCTGTTGAGTTTTTATCAGTGAGGGTTAATTCACCCTTCTCTCTTTCTGGGGTTCTCCCTCAACTCGAAGACCATAGCCCCCAACCCCCAACTGCAGTTTTCCTCCCTCTGTCTTCTCTTCTTTTAACCTTTCCATCTTTTAACTGATTCATATCTGCTCCCTTCCTCTCACAGATTCAGACAATTCCCTGCTGCGTTACCTTAGTGATGACAAGATCCTGGTGATCGAGGAGGAACCCGAGGGTCCAGGCAGAGAGAGCCGGAGGGACTCCACCAGACGCTCTCGGCGCAAAAGCCGCAATCCCAGCAGCCCTAGTTTTCCCATCAGCCCCTCCATGCTGTCCTCCACCTTGCGCTTAGACCAGCCACCTGAAGCTTTGCCTGTACGTACACTGTCTTTTGGACAGAATTAGATTGTTACCTTGTTTATGTGTAAGTAAATTATATTGGTTTTTATTTGTTTCTATCCTGTCTGTAGAATAGTGTTTTAATGTCCCTCAGGGGATACTTGGCTTGCAGACCGCACACACTGAATAATCAGTCAGTCAAATCAGACAATGATCTGCTCCTGAGTTAAATTAAGATATAAAGGTGTTTTGTTGTTGTTGTTGTTGTTTTATGTTTTGCTGTGTTGGTTGTTATCAGCCACTTATCAAGTCATTATCATGTTAGATATACTTTATGGTCAATTTAGTTCATTTGGCATTACAAGAAATACTTCCTTCCACTTGGCTAAGTCACTGAGGAGCGTGGATGTTTATGCACTGCATGCTGTGTTAACAGATAACTCTGGTGATATTCTTTACTTTTCTTATTGTGAACAAAATACGAAAAGACCAAATCGAGGAATCAATGTAGCCTACAATATCAGTTGTGTAGCCGAAGCCTGAAAAACACATCGTGTCACACTGTTGCACTGGGTGATGGTTCTTTGTACCTATGAATTGTGGGCAATGTAGTTTATGTTGTCACTCCCATATACAAAGTCCTGCTGTAGTAAATACTGAGTGAAACACCAAATGTGTAATAATCCAAGGCTTATCAACAAATGTTTGTGGTTATATTCACAGAGCGGATTCACTCAAACTTTTATGTGTGTGTATGTCAGGTAGAGGAGATGAAGGAGAGTGAGGATGATGAGTGTCATTACATGGCTGTCAGCATCACGGACTGTGAGAATGACAGTGACAGTCTCAGATGCATAGTTTTCTCTCATGCACACACAGACACACACACCAACACAAGAATACACAAACAAGCACACACCAGCACACAAGAATGCATTTGTATGCAGGGTCGCCATCTCATGACTCATCCTAACTCATCCTAATATCCCCATCTCCTCAGACATGCCTGAGTCTAAGTAGGAGTTTATTCTGGACAAACACATACACTTGCACACATACACACACATACACACATGTCTGTGAGTAGGTGTATGACTCAGCATCAGCCAGACCAATTACAACTGCGACCGACAGACTGAGCTTAAAACACGGCGCACGCAAACACACATATTCACAGTGTGCTAACAGCTTAGCTCACACCAGCTGCCTCTAACCCTCTCAGCTGTGTGTCTCTCATGGTGGTGACTCATACGGTATCTATTCAATGGTACATCAAGTATACTATTCTGCATTAACAAACATATGCTAGCCTTAATGACTTGCTTGTGTCCTCTCCCTGACTGTGTCTGTTTGATTATTTTCCATTCATGCCAAACACCAACAATCTGGCAAATGCAACTTATCAATAGATATCAAGAATATTTTTGTGACGTTTTGTGCCTACAGTAGCAGTTGTGTTTTTGTACCACAGTGCATGACAATACATTATGTAGCCTATACAGCTGAAGTATCCTACAATTATCCCAGATATAAAATATACAATATAATAGAAAAGGAGCGGTCAACATTACTTGTGTTTCAAAATATGAGATGATGGGCTCCCGGGCACAGGAGCATACAGGCTTCTAATCCACATCATAACACTGTCATCACTTTGCTATGACATCTTCCTAATAATCTTTCAAGTTCCTAATGAACTTCTCTGATTTAGAGGCCAAGTGACCCCTCTGGCCCCTGGGCCCATAGAGGCTCATTTGTTTATCCAAAAGCCTTTCTAAGTGTCCACTGTTGAGGTTGGACAAAAAGTATTTTGATATAATACCCAAATTGTTAATGTTTTTAGGGACACCACAAAGACTTAGTTATTAGTGGTGGAAGTGAACAGTTCTTTTACCATCACACCAGATTAAATTATAATGAAGTCAAGGCTGTAATCAGACCAAAACTGTGATTGAACTGATCAAATACCTGTTAGAACTACAGTCCAGAGGGCAGTAGTAGTAGTAGTACCTTCAACCTGTATTGTTTTATTCATTTCAAGTCGGTACAACAGTGCTAACTAGCGCCTCGGTTGAAACGGCCAGAATAATTTTTTTGTGATCTTCACGTTAGACAGTCTAGTAACAATATGTACCAGTCTTACTAGCTAGAATTGTAGTGATTTGTTTATTTATTCTGATGAAATGCAACTGATTATCCAAGAAAGTACTCTTTGAAAATTATTATTATACTGTGTACCCCTTTACTTCAGTCTTCCCAAGACTAACCTCTTTACAACAGAGGCAGACGTACTTTCTTCTGGGAAAATTTGAAACATCAATGTCTAGACACTAAACAGCACAATGAAGTTAATTGGTCACCGGGTAATGAATGAAAAATAAAAGGAGTAGTAGAAACACTGGCCACAAGAATGAAAAGATACAAAAACCAGCCAGTTATTGCCAACTAATTACCAAATGTGTACAGAAGTGTGGAGGGTTTTCGAAGCTTTTTAACTAAGTCTTTTTTTGTCTTGTGTCTGTCAGCGAGGTGCGGACACAATGCGAGCAGAAACAACAGACAGGTGAGATGTTTTTGGGGCTGTTTGTGGTTTGACCACATGCTTGTCATTGGTAGAAGGAGTCCTTTGTGGTTACACTCAATCCTGCCTGTCCTCCTGTAGGTACTCGGGCTCAGGAAGCTCAGGAGGAGCCTCCATGAGAAAGGTAGGAGAGCAGACACTGTTCTGATATTTTTTAGATGTTTTATAAATCTAGTTTTGATTTTTAAACAATCCTGTATGTTTTGATTCTGACTCAAACACCAGTTTAATAAAGCAGCACAGTTATATCTTCAATCTTCTAGCAACCACATCCACTGTTACATGGAGATGAATTGTGTCCAAGTAACAGCTGAACATCCAGCCAGATAAGAATAGGAGAGACACCTGAGATTAAATCCATGACAGTGGAAGGAGGTAAATTGGTTTTCATATTTAGGTTACTGGGACAGTTGAAGCTGTCTCAGGCATTAGCCCTAGCCTCCCCTCCAAAGCGCTGTGAGTTGTAGCGTACTGTGAGTCAGCTCAGATGGCTGTAAACAAATATTCAGCTTTGTTTCTTAGTTTAATAGCCAGCAGGCCTATTCACACTACCTTCTGCTGGATACATTAGCTAATGTGCAGTTCAGTAGAGTTTGCAATGCTAGTTTGCTAAAATGCTGACATAATCTGAATGCAAATTATGATTTGAAAGTGATACTATCTCAAAAGAAAAGTTTAATTCATTGAAATGAAAGGCATCAGTGTTCAGTTCAATACACAATGGCTGCTAATGTTAGCTCACTTTGCATACATATTACTGTATGACAGATATTACTGACTTCATGACTCTTTTGTTATGCAGCATTTTAGCATTTAACATTACTATATCATTATCACATTAGCCACTGAACAGTCATACCACTAGCATGGATAAAACATCATAGAAATACTAACTAACATACAATTTGACTACAGTGGATGGATTCACCAGTGCCCTTTAATACGAGGACAATTTAAATTTGCAGACTACATGGTGAAAACCTTTCTGATGCATTGTAACATTTTCAGATATGCTAAAAGTATCAAAGGTGATGCAATTCATGGCGCTCTGTGGCAGACAGCTTTCAGCTTGTAGGTCACTTCCTGGCTGCAGCAGTTTTAGCACCGTGATCCCTGTGTGCCTGTGATCCTCTGTGCTGGGTGCCTGATAAAATAAACACAAGGAACTGGCTGCTCTTCTTTGTGAGAAATGCACCAATGTCAAAATGGAAAAGAAAAGCTAACATATTTTCCCTCTTCTCTGTAGTCTTTCCATTACACCTCTCTAAGAACAAAAACCAAAAAGAGAAGTAAAGGTGAGCACTCTGTTATGTTGGTTTCTTTTTACTGTCTTACATTTTATTGTATTAGCATCAAAGCATACTAAAAGTACTCATTATGCAGAATGGCACATTTAACGTTAATGTATATCATGTTACTGGATTATAATTATGGATGCATTATTGTGTACATCACATTTAATGTTGCAGTTGATAAAGGTGGAGGTAACTTCAATCCTATCATTTGAATTGCTGCTGCGTAGCTTGTGAATTTTCCACCAGAGATCAATAAAGTCTTATGATTATGCTGTATTTTGTTTTATTAAACTGATTCTGAAAGGTAACTAGTGGCTAAAGCTATAAAATAATTGTAGTAGAATAAAAGTATATAATATTTACCTGTAAAATGTAGTGAAGTGGCAGTATGAAGTAGCACAAAATGAAAGTACTCGTGTAAAGTACAGCTGGCTCAAAATTGTAGTTAAAGTAATTTCCACCACTGGAGCAGCTCTGTGAGAGAAGGGCTTGACATATTCAGAAGGAGAGCTGAGACAGGCCTGATGAAAAGAACACATTGCTTATATGTGAGAAGTTGTACCACACATCACCACACTTATACTTTCTTACTAGTACTTTTCTCAATTTGATTTCAAATGCTATCTAAATTCTCTTTTCTTTCTGCAGGTTCCCTCACCAGTGCAAGTCGAAGGAGAATTTCCTGCAAGGACCTGGGCCACGGTGACTGCGAAGGCTGGCTGTGGAAGAAGAAGGATGCTAAGGGCTACTTCACCCAGAAATGGAGAAAGTACTGGTTTATCCTCAAAGAGTCCTGCCTCTACTGGTACACCAACCAAAATGTAAGTAATCATCACATTTGACTATCAGTCAATCTTTGGACTGCTTCCTCTCTCTGCATTCGTGTTGACAAACCAGTGTACAAAAACTAGATATCACAGCTTCAATACAGAATCGGGGGAGTTAAAGGTGCACTCAGCTGAGTTAGCACATAAAGGTGAGTCTACTCATGATGGGCAGTTGCACTCAGTGTGTAAATCAGATGCATAATTTCTGTTGTGGCTCTAGAGAAGCTGTCAAAAATCTGACAGAATACCCCTGATTATGCCATCAGGGGATCAGCCCAAGGTGATAATCATCAAGCTTTGTCAGACCAGCAATCCAGAAGCCAAATTTATGCCATTCATTATAACGTAAGACAAGGAAAACAACAATTTCTCACATCTGTGAAGCTAGAAACCATTAAACATTTGGCACTTTTGCTTCAAAATTTACTTAAAATGATTGATAATTGTCCCTGCCGCAATAAGACTGATGGCAAATATGAACATGTGAGAAATGTGAGAATATATGTGCAGTAACCCCTTACTAGACATGTGCAGTAACCCCTTACTACTTCACCAAGCGTAATATCATATCCAACTCCACCATGTGAATTACTAAGTGCAATATCTGAAGTTCACTGTGGGAAATATCATTACCCTATTTTTGTGTATTGTGTTTTAATACTTTGTCGCCCTTATGTAACTCTTCTATTTTAAGACTAAGTGTTCTTTCTGGCTTTTGACTCCTTACCTGACTCCAAAGGAGAGCTGCACAAGAATTCCTATATGCCCGGACTGTCTGTTTATGCATAAATGGCAAACAAAAATGTTGAATCTTGAATTTTATTGATTAATCTGCTAATTATTGCAGCTCTAAAAAGAAGAAAAGAGCTCCAAAAGATACAAAGAACTTACCCAGACTTGAGGACTAACTGTAAATGTGATAATCTGTTTAACTAACATAGTCATATTTCAACTTTCATCCTTTTCATGTTAAGTAGTGGAAGGAGTTTATCCCGGCCAACGTAAACAACATATGTTGTTTACATATGCTTGATTAGAGCACTACTATTCCAAATAAGATTAATATATCAGTATGCATGACACTTGTTCTCTGTGTTGATGATGTACCACCACTCTCCATCTGTCTCTGTCTGCAGGATGAGAAGGCTGAGGGCTTCATCAGCCTCCCTGAGTTCAGAATAGACCGAGCCATAGAGTGCAGACGGAAATTGTGAGTGTCCGTCTAATGTTGCCGAAATGGCTAATCAAGCACATTTGCACTCACCCACACAACATGGACGTAAACAAACCAACTGCACATACTAAAAAGCCTAATCAGCTGTCTTCTCCCTGACTGTCTGCAGCGCCTTCAAAGCCTGTCATCCCAAAATCAAGAGCTTCTTCTTTGCCACAGATTGTCTTGAGGAAATGAACAGGTGAGTGTGTCTGTCAGTCTCTGAGTTTGTGCGTGAGTGAAATCGGGGACATCACATGTTTTGTCATGAATGTTTTTACCTGAGTAAACCAAGTTTACATAAGGCAACAGCCCCCCCAGTGCAACACTGTGCATGAATAAAGCACGGACCTGGGCAACTGTATGTGTCACGTGTGTTTGTCTGAGAGGGAGATCGTAGTGATATTTGCGGGAGTGCTATCTAATGAGTTCTAATTATCCACACATCTCCTCAGTGACATGGTGTGATATTTGGGGAGAGTAATAAACCAGCTAAATTTGACTTCCATACTGTGTCTCAGGGTGTGTGTGGCGCTGTGGCACAGTCCAGTGTTTGCAGTCGAAATTGGCAGATGTAAATTGTTGTGAAACACATTAGCATAGTTGGCCAACCCCAAAATGCTCAGTGCTGGAAGCCTCATCCCAGTAGTTCCTAGAGTTTTCTCCCTTGCTCAGGGACTTTCTGAAGACATACGATGGCCAAAGCACTACATGGAGTTCCTGGTTCCTGTGGTCAAAGCACAAGTTCCTGAGTTCTGAAAAGGTTCCTGTTCCCAAAAGTTCTTGTGTCAGATACTGACTGACATATAATCAGCAATACATTCTTCTGTCTCCCAGTAATGCCCGACTGTCTTTTCCTTCTGAAGATGTAAATCTTTAATGATGGGTCAGAAATGTATAGTTTTATTTTTTTTGAAATCTCTTTAATTTATTTAAAACAACAGAACACTCTAGCTTTTAGCAAATGTTACTTAAAAAGGAGTAAATATCGAACTTATTGATAGCTATTATCAGTTGCAGATTAATACACATTTCGTGGTTGTGGTGAGTGTAATAAGCTTTATCATGCTTTGGCTTTGGATTAATTTTTGCCTTTTCACGAAGTTTCTTGACAATAAAAAAAATATTGAAGCTGACAAAACTGATTCCTGGTCATGCTCTTCCTCATATGATCGGTTCCTTCTTCCTCATACAAAGTCTGGTCTTCTATTCTTAGTAGCAACCTTATGATTAGGTGTATGCAGAGAGACACGGGCCGGAATCTGCAATGGAGACAGACAAAAGGATGACAAGAAAAGGACAGGAAGTGTGGATGTGGGGAGAGAATATCATCTGAGGTTCAGGGTTGAGAGAAAATGGGACAGAGGATTGTCACTTCTCTCCTTCTCTCTAATTATGTTGATGCTTTTCTCTCCTCATCAGCGGTGTGGAGTCAGGTAGACAGATATCACCCATTAAGAAACACCGGTTAAATTATTTAGGGTGAAAGTTTTTTATTCATCACCTACAGTACCATTAATCCAGTATAACCCATCCTTTCCTCGCTTCCTTTCTGCTGCTGATCTCATCTCTCCTCTCTCCTTTCCTTGTTTGCTATAGGTGGATGAACCGGCTAGGGCTGGCTGCTATTGGTTACACGCCAGATGACAAGGTGCCACGCCCTGATGAAGGTAAGCTTGGCTAGAAATGGCTGGTTCTACTTTTTTGTCCCTAAGTTGCCAACTTCCCTGTGCGTTTTTATCTCAATACCAGATTACTGGAGCGAGAGTGATCAAGATGAGGTCGATGGCTCGATGACCCTCAAACAGGAGGGACCCTCATCTCTCTGTGATACTTATCACCGCACACCATCAGTGAGCACACACACACTCAACACTTTCTCTGTGGTGTTTCATTCTGATAGAACATTTTATACCTAAAAGCCTCACAGTTTTCACAGCTGCGTAGCCGAGAGCTCTCAGCATTAATAAAACATCAGAGAGTGAGACTGTCTGGTTACGTAAGCAGCCATGACCATCACGTCTGTGTTCTGCCGTCAGAACTTGTTCACAGTCTGACCTCCAGCTGGCGACAATGCACATTACATCTCTGAAAGGAGATGTTGAATTCTTACAAATATAATGAAGATGCACGGACATGATTATTAAGGGCCAGTGGCACTGGTACCATGTTTTTTCCAGCTTATCCATACAACAGTCATGCCAGTCATCTGTCATGTCATCATTTTGCTCTCATCTTTTGGTCTCTTTCTGCCCTTCGCCTGCTGTCATATTTCCTTCCTTGCACACTTGTGCCCCTTCTCCTTGTTTTTCTTGTATCTGTGCTCACATTTTGCCCTTCTGTTAACTTTTATTTTTCCTCACTATACTAACCATCCCTGTGCACCTTGCTTACCCTTGGTCTTTCAGACTAACCTTCTTCACAGTTATGTCCAGTTACCCCGCTCAGTCAGCTCCATGAGTCTCATGCGCTCCACTCCCTCCCCACTCCCTCTACCAATGAGTGCCTCCACCTCCCCTATCCCTCCACAGATGGTCTCTTCCACCTCCCCTCTCCCTCCCCAGGTCAATTCTTCTAGTCCCTTCCCGGAGCCCAAGCATGGCCGACACTTCTCCAGCGAGTCCACGCACTCCCACTCCTCAGCTGAGGACCAGCGTGGAGACGGCATGGGCATGGGCATGGGCACGGGCACGGGCACGGGCACAGGCAGCACCAGTACACACTCATCTGGCTGCCGCTCCTCCCATCGTGAGCGCCGTTCCTGGCAGGACCTTATTGAGACCCCTCTGACCAGCGCAGGGCTGCACTTCCTCCAGACAGCGCCAGGGGATAGTGATTACGGAGGCCTGATGGGGAGCATGGCTGGAGAGATGGGGTTGTACGGAGGGCTGGGCAGACAGTGCATGTCCCCGGAGAGACGCAGGCAGGCCACACTGCCCGTACGGAGACACCACGCCGCAGAGAGAGACAGAGAGCAGGATGGGCCCTTCCCACTGGAGCGGGGGCCACACACACACAGCCACACACATCGGCACTCCCACAAGCAGCGGAGCCAGAGTCTGCCCAGAAACAGGGACCCGATACCAGGAAAGCTGTTATACACCTCAGCTCATATGGAGGAGAGGAGCGAGGATGAGGAGGTTGAAGGGCAGGCTGCAGATATCCTCGAGGGTGAGGAGGGTAAGGAAATCATACATTGTCTGGATTATACAAAGAGAGGCACCAACAGTTGTCACAGAAAAAACAGACCATTAAGTAACAAACAAGTCAAGAATATCCATTATGATTTCCTGTATATAGTGCATATGGCATTTTTACTTTGTTAGATAAGGCAGGTCATAGGGTACTGGAGTCAAAGTCGCCTTTGTATGAGGGTAAAGACTGCATATATTCGTCATAATCACATTTAGACTAAAATGGCATCATTAGGGGTAGTATTCAAACCCTTGTCTTAAATAAAAATAACACTGCCAAAGTGTAAAAATTTTTTAAAATTTCATCCTATTTCATTAATTAAAATTTTCAGCAGACAACATTAATGTAATTTTCTGCAGGAAATGCCCTTTGTAGTTAGCAAAATGTTAAAGTATCAAATGTAAAAGTACTTCTAATGCAGATGTACCCCTTTGAGTGTTATGACATTAAATATTATATTACTGGATTATTATTTTTGATGGATTAATATGTAAGTAGGCTTGGTAGTTCAGGTTTAGGTTGTTTAATATACAGTATAATAGTCGATTGTATTTTATAAGCTCATTTTTAAGTATGGGGTTCCTGAAGACCGTTGTCTCTCAGCCCAAAACAGCATTACTTATTACTGTTTTATCTGCTGGACCGTTCATAACATTAACCGGGGTTTATGAAAACTACTTATAAACATGATTATGAACCGATGAAACATTTCAGATGTCTGCCACTCTTTGGGGTCTGGAGACTGTCGCTGTAAAACAAGGTTAAATACAATAGATGTTTGTGTTCTCATTATCTGTGACTGGTTTTATGTAGCACCACCCTTCCAAAATCCCTGGTTTTTGGGTTTTATTGCAGTTTGTTCATGAAAGAATGCAGAAATATAATATACAGCACTTTATTATTATTATTGGTCACTTTCATATTTTGCTATCATCGTTAAATGTCCAACCAAGTCTTGCTTGCACAGTGAAGGACTCCACCACATTTCTACATATTGAATTTTATTAAAGTTGGAAGTAAAGCAAATAAATTATGAAAAGGGACAAAACTGTAAATTTTGCAAATGTTATTTTATTTCACACAAACAGTGGTATGGAGGAAATCTACATAAAACACAAAGGTTAATCTGTAACATCACTTACTGGTTGTAAATGAAAGAGTAAATAAAAGAATAAACATGTCATTTAAGATTTTGAAAGATCCAAAGCTGTTGTAAGCCAGTAATAAAATCAAGTATGTATATAGCTGTGTCTGTAGAGGTAGGAGGTGTTGATAAAAAGAGGTAATGGCTGCACAGTGACTCACAACCACAAAATGTATTCATCTAAGTCAAAATAAGGACAAAACATGAGCAACACAACCAAAAATACAGTATAAGGCAGAAGAAGGGGAACCTTAAATTTCTGTATAAAAGCATCTTTTAAATGCATATACAGTATATCCCCAAACGCCACATCACAAAATAACCACACATGCACTGTATTAGTATCAGTAATATTACAATATCATTTGCATCAAATTCTCTGAAATCACTCGTATTTACCACTTAAACAACTTTCCTGTTTGTGTTATCAGAAATCTGGCAAGACGCACTGTTACTAAAGAGAACACCAGACAACAGGCAGTTGTGTTTAGTCCTGCTCTGGTAGTTAGACACACCACTACACATAGTGTCTCTGACTCTTACTGGCTGTTTCCTGTTGTCTCAGACTTGCGGGAGCTGAGACTTGAGAGCAGAGAGAGGAGGGTGTCGGACGGAAGGGAGCGACGAGTGTCAGAGGGCCGTGAACCGGAGCCGCTGGATGGTCTAGAGCAGCTGTACCGGGCCCTGGAGCAAGCTAACGTGACGGCCTTAGGAGACCCAAAACCCTGTAGCAGGCAGGAGCTCCGACGCTGGTTCACCCAGAGAGCCAGAGACCCCCTGCTCAATGACAGGCTGCACCGAGTCCGAGCCCTCCGCAGCACCTTGAAGGTAGCACAAAGGGGTGATTGTGGTGCTAACACAAGCAAAAACTGGTTGGATTTAAAGAATTAGGGGTTTAAGGATTCAGTGTGGTAACCTCCTGATGTCTCTCCCTAAGGCCAAAGAGTCAGAGCTGGCAGTCATCTGTGCCCTCCTGGAGGACCCTGGCCTGTGCTCCCAGACCTTCAGAGAGTGGAAGCAGTGGCACAGTGAACTCTACTCAGACATCTGCCAGCTCAACCCCGGCACCAACGGCCAGGGTGACCTCTCCCCGCTGGCCGCACCTCTCATGACCCACACACACTCCTTCATTGAGACGCATGTGTGAGAAAGTGAAGAGAAGCAAAGACTTCATACACACAGAGCTTTACATTAGCCAGATCCTTTCTCCTGATCATGACTCTAAGCACGCACACACACAGACACACACACACACACACACACACACACTGTAAGATGTGTAAATATCATAGAGGGAACAGTCTGAGACCTGTGTGTATGAACTTTTGATAATCATGAGGACCCCACGGGGTGCCTATTGCATGCCTGAACAGAAAGCATTAATCTTCCTTTGTCTATGGACCTCAGCATAAACTCCATGCGCTTGTTGAGCAAAATGGAAAAAAAGGAGACTTTTTAACATGTTTGTTCTTTTGTATTCTCTTGGGTTTGCTTTTTTTTTCTTTTTCAGGTTGATTTTAGGGGGCAGGGGGAGCTATGTAGCAGCAATACAGCGGAGAATCCTTTTCACCACAGCACTGTACTTTTGTACTGATGAACTTTGCACCCAGAGCCACCAGTCTCCCCCTTTCTCTCAATTTTTTTCTCGCACTGCATATCTTGTTGAGTTACAGGGACCTCACTGTTATTCCAGGCTGATCTGACGGGACAGCATGATTAAAGTGAATTCACTATAAGGCTGTGAAAGGTACTGTAGCCATCAGTCCTATTTATCTATTTTACCTGATGAAAACAAGCACTGCGAGCACTGAGGAACCATTGTGCTCACTAGATGCACACTATTTCAAACTGTGAACTATTTTACCTGCAGAAGAAGACTCCTCTGATAGAATGCAATTCTACAACTCAGTTTGCATTCTCTCACTCTGTGTTTCTCTCATCTCCTCCTTTTCTTAAATTTTCTTTTGGTTCTTCTCTCTCTCTAGTCCTCAAAGACTTGTGTATATGTGTATACTGCTGTGTATACTGATGTAAATGTTTGCGTTCCACTACCACTGTGATATGCTTCTAGAGGTAGCGGAGGGAAGACAGAGAGTGTGTACTTGTGTGGGTGCAAAACTATTTCTTGTTTTCCTTTTTTGTTTCTTAAACAGTGAATGCAAGAGCTAGAGAGTTCTTTTCAAATGTCACTCACTATGAAGAATGCACTTTCTATATCTCTATATCTCATTGGCTGCATCACAGGGTCTATGTTTCATTGGCCTCTTTACCATTGCTGTTCAAAATATCAGGTAAAAGCATTTACCGTCTCATTTTCTAAAGATTTGTGTACAGTCTACAAATACAGTATATTTAAACATACAAGAATATATAAATCTATTTACGTTTTGTGTCATAGATATAATGTAAAGTATGATGTATTCTATGCCAAGGTTTTGCAGTGTCCCCCTCTTCACTCTGTAGATGCAGGGTGTTTAGCCGTTAAACAACTAGGAGGCAAACGACCACCATCACTGACAGTTAACTGACAGTTTTTTACTGGTTTATTATGGCTGACCCTTCTCCTGGTGACATGTTGCATGAGAAAAGGCCTGGGACTGATTTGATTGGACAGGGTTACATTTTGTGGATCATTTGTCGTGTTTTTTTTAATCTTCTTCTCGTGATTGCAAGACTTGTAGCGCACAGTACATGCAAAAGTACTACTGAAGAATTACTTTTTTTTATATATGTTCATAGGTTTGAAGTCTTATTTTTTCATTAGTGTTTTGAAGACACATGCTGTACAACTGAGGGGAGGCTATTATGCTACTCGGTTACTCAATCTAATGCAGAGCCTTCTTTAACATCCAACCAGGAAGTTCCAATTAGATCTGTCCTGAGAGGCAACAGTCCAGTTACTTCTTAAATGAAAGCCTTTTTTTTGACATTCCCTCCAAGCATCTGGTTGACACTGGGCAGTCAAAGACCTCTGCACTAAATGGTCTGTAATGTCTGTGAAACCCGGCTGAATCATTTCATCTGCAATATCAGGCCAAGAACTCAATGGTGCCCCCCAATGTCAAAGGCTCTGAGAGACATGCGTAGCACCTGCTGTATCCAGCACTAACTGTACTTGTTCTTCATATTTTCCTGTAGTTCTCTGAGAGTAGATCCAGGTTTTTTATCATGTCACACTGTTATGAAATATCAAACACACCCCAGAAATATAGCTTATGTTTTCTCAATGCTTAATTTGAGAGTACCACAAAAATATTAAATGATGCAAGCACTTTTCCCTGTGCCTCCCAACCCTCTCTTTGGCAACGACAGACTGACTATACTTGGTTCCTACACACACACATCTGTAAAAGAGTTCCGATACAGTTTTAGTCTGCAGACCTCTCTCTGTTGTTCATCTGTAGTGTTGGTCTTCTTTTTCCAACTGCTGCTCTGACGAGCAGGTAATATACTGTAGATTAAGGAGTTGTGAGAGTTATGATTTGTAGGCGCTGACTGTGTTATCCCTCTCAGATCTTTGTGTGTGTGTAGACCTGCAGAAACAGGCCGAAAAGGGAGATTCCACTGTGTGTTCTTTCAGGGGTGTACACCTCATGGTACATTGCACAGGTGTGTAAGATGTAAGTTGCACTGCGACATTAAAAAAGGAACATATTGCTCTTTTTCAAGGATGATATTAGCTTACTGTTATTCTGTACATTAAACTGACTAAAGATGATATTAAAAAAGACAGAAAATGACATTTATTCTTCCTAAAGTAGCCTTTTTTGGTTTCATATATATGAATATATATTCCAAAAAATACAGATTGTAAACTTAAGTTGTTAAACTTTGACTTCAATAAACCGAATCCTCTGCACTATGTGTTGTGGCAAAAATTATCTTATCATGGTTCGGTGAGTGCAAAATGAATAACTTGATACCAACTCTGAAGTTTGATGCACATTTATTCCTGCAGAAAGGAGCGAACTCTCACACAGTGTCACACATAACAGTCTGAAGGAGAAGCTCCCCGGGCGAGAGCTGCATTTCCTTTTTATACGTAGACTTGAGTCCTGCTTGTGGTTTCGATCAGTTAAGGTCATATGTAGTTTAAGGAAACGTCTATCACACAGGAAAGAAGCTGTCTGATTCTGCATCCATACAAGGTTTTTTACTGAAGACACTTTGACACATACGTTTGTCTAGTTTCACAAGCATGAAAAACCTGCATAGCAACAATCAGCATGTTAATAAGACAGTATGTTAATAAGGGCAGTTTTACATCACATATGACATATGTTCTGTTTATGTGTGTCTTTTCTATGATAAATTGAACCTGAATTGTATGGTGTTCTGTAGTGATGTCGCCAGGTGAAGATTACCAGATGCCAAATTAAAGGTAATGTTTGAAGACACATGTTACACCAGAACAGTATGTTATATTCCTGCAATATCTAATAATTTTCAGCTAACAGAATTTTACCTATTTATGCTACATAAGTTTATATAAAATAAAATAAAAAGAAGGTTATTCCACATTGGTCAAGAGGTGGTGTGCTCTGAGTAGCTCACCAGTCTTTCACAGGGCTGAGACATTGGCAGCCATTCACTCATATTCACATTTATGTAGTTTATGCAATTGCATGCAAATTTCAGTGTGGCCCTTTTTAATGACCACCCACATACTGACCTCTGTTCAATGCATACAGTAACCTATGTAACCTATAGCTCCCAGGTCAAGTTCATTACAAGGGGTGCTATACTGCAACATTACTGAATGTATGTTGGGTTAATTATGAATGAAAACTACAGCTCAAATTAAAATGTTATTATATGCAAGAGTCTAAACAAGAGTCATCAGCTATATAGAGTATTTTGAGAACTTAAAAATACGCTGTGAACAAACCATATCGGTGCAGATGTCTACTCAGTCCATTAGGTGGCAGTAGCTGACCGTGCATTGAGTCAGTCGAGCCCACACGTCACAGCTCAAAGAAGAAGGAGGAGCGCTGTCATGGCGGCCAAGGTGAATGTTTGATATTTCATCTTCGGTAAAGTTTTGTGTGTGTGTTTTACATGTTTATTTGCAATGAATACATGGGTGTAGTGTCGTGGAATGTCCCAGAGTCGTTAATGAAAACTTGAAGTGACTGTCGCGTTATAGGCATTTATGCTGCACGATAATAGCTGTGCTAACTGTGGTAGCCTCTCTGAATGAGGCCATGCTAACTTTAGCTGATAACAGTTTGAGCAGTAGTTCCACCAGCGTGCGTGACAGCTGATAAATCTGCATTATTTCGGTCGGAGATGTTGCCTGACTTACACCATTTTAACACATTAACACACATGCCGCCATATGAACACAGTTAGAGGCAACGTTGCTGTAAACCTTAACTATCTTAAATGGTTCTAAGTTAGATGTTGTAATGATGGTAAGTATTTAGGCTGAGCACTTCTGGGGGGAAAGATATCTATCAGTGGAGAAATGTATCTAAATGCATGTACTCAAGCGATGTAGCGCGATTTAAAGGTAACGTTACATCTCTGTTCACCCACTAACGTTGCATTTCAGATGTTAAAGTCAGAAGTGTACTTGTACTGTGCACTAGGTGGTGATGGTGGCAGTCCCGGCGGTTCTGGGAGTAGCCTCCATCCGTGTGTACACTGTGAGCGAAGCGCCGGCTGATGGATTGATAACTCGAGAAAAGGTACAACTGTCCCAGAACAACAGCTGATCTGGTATAGAAGTCACTGCCAGAACTGCTGTATCTTATAATTACATGCTGACTCTGTCTGTGCCCCCAGATGAACATCTACACCCCACTGCCACAGTCTGCTCAGGTTCGGTTTGTTCCAGAGAGGCCTGGTGCTATTGAGAGTGGGTTTACCACAGTTAGAGAGAGCATACTACCATTTGTCCAGGCAGTAAAGGTATAACCATTTTGCTGTGTGCATCTATAGCTGCACATCTGATCTTGTTCATACCTTCATATCCGGTCTGACACTTTAAACACAAACCGTTTTACTCATAGGGTTGAAGAGAAGCTAGAAGTGTGAAAGAACAGCTAAAACATGTTGAGGAGCTCTTATCTTGCACCTGCAGTGTTAGTCTTCCAACCCAGATTTTTGCTCCTCTTGTTTGTGGTCATGAAGCACAATCCCATGTGCTGCTTTGTGCAACTAATGTGTTGCAAACAGCAAAGTTGAGGAGTCAGACAGGAAATAGTGTTCATGCAGTTGTCTCCGCAACTCTAAGGTTTGCTGCGAGGAGATTTGACAGTCTGATACTGTGGAAGATGGGGGGGGGAAACACACTTCACACTGACTCGGATGTACTTGTTTCAGTATTGCCTAGACAGTTGTGTTCTTGTTGGCCTGTTATAGTGGTTTAAATTTTGCCCCCTTTTTCCTGCAGGGTGCCTGTGTCTCAGTAAGAAGGGGGAGTGTTAATCTTTATCATGCAGGAGAGGGTGAGTCAACATTAGGTACCTTAAGGTCTCATTTATATCAAGGATTCTCCCTCCCTGTCACTCAAAGCACATCGTCTTGTGTGACAAACTGTGTGACAGAATAATATAGCAAATTTGTGATACAGCCTTTTTCAGGGTTTTATAAACTCATGTTCTTACTGTTATCTTAGAAAACACATCACATGTTGTGTCTCAGCCATCTATTCCTAGTGGTTTCAGCAAGTATTCAGACCTCTTCACTTTTTGTACACTTGTTTGTGTTGTGGATTTAATTTTAAATTGATAACATTGGCATTTTTCTGATCAATTTAACCTCAGTAAGTTATAGTAACAATGTGAAAAACATGTTTTTACTTTTGTTTTGCAATCAGAAACTGAAGTCAGTTAGTGTATTCAGAACTTTCACTCCAAACTGTGGTCAGGTTCATCCTGTTTGCTTTAATCTTCTTGTGTTGTGTGTAGAACTTGACTGGAGTCCACCTGTGGCAAACTGAACTGATTGGTTATAGTTTAGAAAGGTGCAAACCTGTGCATAGTAGGTCCCACAGTTCACACTATATGTCAGGTCAAAAACCAAGTCCTGTGCTATAAAGCTTTGGTGAAGCATAGGTCAGAATGAGAGTAAGAAAAAATCTCTCCTAAAGCTCGGAGTGTTCCCAGGAGCACAGTGAACCTCAATAGTTGTGAAATAGAATAAGTTAGAACCACCACAGTCTTTCTCTAGTCAGCTGTCTGGCCAAACTAACCTGACAAGAAGCACCTTGGTCCCAGAAGTGACAAACATTTCTAAAAACATGATTTCATTATGAGTTATTGAGTGTGGAGTGATGGTCAAAGCGGTCAGTTTTATAGATTTAAAATTACAACACACCAAAGTATGCATACAGTGAGGGAGTCTGAATAGTTTGTGAAGCCACTGTTAATTTACATCTCTTAGGTACTGATGTTACAGTGAGGAAGGTTCCTTGATAAAATAGCACACAGGTCCCATGTTTCCAGCAAAAGAGGTACTTGTGACTGTGAATGTTTTTCTGTGACACATACTGTGTGTTATGTTCACAGCCTCAGGCAATACTTAAACAAAACTATGCATAGTATTACTGTTACCATATTTATTACTATTCTTCTTAACACAAACTGTTACTATTGCTAGTGTAGTAAAAGTCACAATATGAGCAGAGAGTCAAACATCAGCTCAGAACTGAGAACACTGAAGGAATATGTGCAGTTATGTTGACTGTGTTCATATGTTTCCTGTTTTCCAGATGTGTACTATTATTTGAAAGACCCTCCCCCAGGTTTTATACCCAGAGTTGCCACCATTACTATGGCTGGCTTGCTTGGCATGTTCTTGGCACGGAAAGGTAAGCTGATCCCCGATTACTGCATCAGAAACTCTTCAGACCTGCTGGGAACAATTACTTTGCCATATTTTGTGTGCACGTCTGGAAGGGCAGAATTCCCGGCTCCTTGATAGTATTGACAGGGCGACTCCCAGACCCTCGGGAAGGAGTCGGCACACACCAGGATGCTGATATTAGCACTAGTTTAGTCATGGAGGCTGAGCCTCAGTTATTGAGGCAGACATCTGCAGAGGTGAGACACTGATTGACCTTATTTAATGAAATAGTTCAGTGACAGTTGACAGACAGCGTAACTGTGAGGTGAGGGAAACCCACCTTTTATCACGCTGCCCTTGAGAGACGGTTGGGAGAAGGAAAGAATGGGTAAGGGTGCATTTGGGTCAGAGGAGTGTCAGAAGATGTCAGGAAGGGGTGAAGGTTACAGAGCTGATGTGTGGGAGTGTGTGTGGTTTATGTACTGTAGATGTAGCTCCATGGGGGAGGGGCACGCAGCAGCAGTATTGCTATGTATGAAAACACATAAATGAATGAACAAATAAATACATGGAAGCAGTAAGAAGTAGCTTTTGGTCAGGATTGAAACTTTTACATGACAGATGGTTGTTAATTTTCATCATAATGTACAGGAAAGGAGGGGAAGGGAACAACTGTATATTCCTAAGCCCCTTGTAGACTGCCCATTCAGTGTAGGAGTTTTCCGCCTCGGCTTTCTGTATACAAGGTCCAGTCCCGGCATGGGGAGTCAGTGCTGACCCTCCAAAATGCAGCAAGCAGAGGTAGTAATGTTGAGTTCAACCCCACATCCTGTTTAAACGGGACAAAGCAGAATGTGAGTTTGGAGGTTCGTGTATATGAGAGAGAGAGGGAGGGCTAGAGAGGGAACGAGGAGGGAGCGCAGCGTCGCCGAAAACAAAGTGAATCAGAGAATTAAAACATTATTTAGTTTATTGTTTCACTTTGTTTATGTTCTAAAGCATGAATAAATACAGCCACACCCCTCTACAACCATGTGAGAAGGTTTTTGTGTGAATGCAACCAAAAAACTGACTTCTGTCTGTTCTGCTGTGTGTGTGCGCATGGCTCTGCCCTCAGAGACACACACAGACCTGAAACTGGATGCACATAGCAGCTGACTAATTCCATTTCCATTTATAGCCTAAATATGTCAAACAAATTCAGATAACAGTTTGTTTGTTTCATTTTCAAAATGAAAATTCATTGGCCGCGAGGTACATGGACCGTCGGACATCATCACGCCTCTAGTACCGGGATCCTGGCAGCTCTGTAAAATGAACATAGAAGTGGCAATTTGCCAGCTTTTTTAAGTTCAGTGTAAAGGGGATTTAAATCAAAAAAGCCACTGTAAGGGTCAAAACACTGGCAGTTTGCCACAATCTCTGTGTAAATCATCTTCTGTTTGAATGATGCATGCTCCATTAATGCTGAAATTTAAGGTACTAAAATAGTGTAGGAGAGCTGTGCTGTAGTAAGGCTGCCAGCAGCGAGGGCAACAAAAGCAGGGTGAAAGAATAAAAGAAAAAACAAGTGATGAATTAGCAATGGAATGTAAACCACTGCTAATTTATCAGCAATTAGCACCAAGGCTGGTTATTGTTAATGTTTTCTGTAGCACCGGCAACATATGTCTGTTGGTTACTGACATTAGAGCGTGCGGTACCTTTACATTATCCAAAGTTGCTGGGTGTCCATTTCCTACAGTTGTTTTCATTTAACAAAATATATCTAATTTATAAAACCTCAATCTTCACAAAGAAAGTCACACTCAAGAACAAAGTAAATGTAAACACGCCAAAACAGTCTGACCGAGCGTTCAGTGGCAGCCTTCACCACTCACTGCTACACAGTGGGGTTGACACTCGGTGAGTAATGAGGTTCCCGTGTAGAACATCTGTCATGACCAAGGGCTTTGTCATTTAACACTGATAATAAAGGAACTGTCATGAGTCACTTTGCAGTGTCTTGATAGCGTGCACACTCGCTCAGAGCCTCCGCAGCACTGAGGTAATGAAACAAGTGCACACAATAAATGAAGTATCACCTACTTTGTTTATGTTCTGACAGTTTGAACATTTTATTAATCTTCATTCTGCCACCATGAATCCCTTGTGGAAACAGATTGTTACAACATATTATTGTACATTAAATTCTACTAAAATCTAGTTTAATCAACAACACAACAGACCTTGCTTATTTATCATATGTTGTAAGTCTTGAATAAGTCATTTACTTTGTAGAACACAAGACCCCGTTCAAAGAGCAGGTCTATTTGATGCACGTTTAACCTGTTTTGATTCATTCACGTATACCGATCAACATTCACAGACCACACTGAAGTTGCATACACCTCAGTGGAAAACCACAAAAGTACAAAGAAGTACAATACAGGAGAAACAAGCGAAGTCAAGCGAGGTCTCAGTTTTCTAAGAGCTCTGTTTAGTAGACCTGTGGCCAATCTTCTATTTTAGGCTCCCGTTTCAAGAGGTTAGTACTTCCACTGGGCCTGATGAGTGCAGGAGTGTCAGTGTGCTACCCCGCCCAAGCAATAACTGTGTTAAAGGTAACACATTTTTCAAAGTCTGACCCCTCCTTTATTACTGCAATACCACTTACAAATCTCATTATTTCAGAAGTATAACACTCTCGTTGTCTTTTGTGCACCCAAGGTGACAGGTAAGAAGGTGTACGCCGCAGGGCAGTGGAGCAGTGCCGCAGGGTCGTCACTGCTCAGCTCCGTGCCCCAGGAGCCCGGTGCCAAAGAGGTAGCTTCTTCACACCCGTAGTGGAACAGTCATTTGAGTATCTGCACAGATTATTAGGATCGTTGCGTAATTGTTATTCACCCAGCTAGTTTAAAAATAGAAACTGCTGTTGTGCTGTGTGTGTGTGACTAAATCCAAAACCTGTTTAAGGGTGACTCTCTTCCCACCTAATGATATTTCCTTTGCGTGTTTTACTTGTTCAAAAAAAAAAATCCCTTTTCGGCCACTAAATAGGTTATCTTCTATTTCCTTTCCCAGCACTTTGCCCTTTGATCACTGAACTGTTACGGGAATTTGCTCTTCATATGAGTTTCACATGTTGTTCTGAGGTTTTTGTGATTTACAAATTAAAAATCTTTGTTTTATATCCATGTGTTGTTAGTCAGCTCCGGTGCCAAAACCCGAGTCTGCAGTGGTCTGGGAGGCCTCAGGGCCCGGCTCAGCCCAGAGAGCTGCAGTCCCAGAGGCAGAGGTGAAATCAGCCGAGTCTGTTCCTGTGTCTGATGAGCCTATTGTCACTGTCACAACAGAGGAGGCGTCATCAGTAACGCTGTCAGAGCTCTCCCCCGTCCAGCCCCCAACAGAGACCAGCACAGGTATTATAGATATTGATCTCTGTCTCCTTGTTTCTCTGTCTAGATTTTGTGCACAGGGTAACACAAAAGCTACTACTGCTGCTGCTGTATTTCCTCTCCTGTCCAGATCCAGTGGCACATTCATTGCCAACAGAGACCACTACAACCTCTGAGAATCTGCCCACCCCTGCTGAATTTGAAGCACCCTCAGAGGCAAAGCAGTCACCTGAAGCCAACTTGAGCTTAGAGCCAAAGACGGCAGCGTCTGTTCCAGGCGAGCCTGCTCCTGCTCCAAAGCTCTCAGGTGAGCCAGCAGGTGCCAGAAATGTTCTGAGCCTTGGCATTAAAGAGCAGAAGGTGCACTAGTAATGCAAGATTAAAGTGATGCAGAAATTAATCTTTTTCTGGTGTTGGTACAGAAGTAGGTTAACTGGAAATACAGGTGTGTGGAGAAATGGAAGCCCCAAAACTAAATATTTGTAAAGGCTATTTCTATATCTCTTGCATTACTTCTTAACAGCACATTACATTGAATTGTTAACTACCTTATAAATGATTAATAATAATAATAATATATTGATCATATTTTAACAATATTAGCTTTCATAAAGGTGGAAACACAGTAGTTCATAGTTCATGTCACTGCTGCTGACCCTGTGTTGTATTGTGACCCCAACCCACACCATCACACCTTGAACAGCCTGGTGCAGATAACAGCAAAGGCTCTGTGAGCACCTGCTGCACTAAAAACCACTGCTTCGATTTGTGGGTTGGCCATTGACTTCCTTGAGCCCACAGACTCACATATACACACACGCTGCGTCACTTCTGGGAATTGCTGGAATTCCAAGGCATCTGAATGCACCAGGCCATCTTCTTCTTACTTTGTGGTCAGTTTCCAATAAAATTTGTCTTGAGTCACAAGCAAAAGAAGCTTCAGGGCAGTGAGGTTCATCCCCTAACACAGACAGGTTCATATTGCCAGTCTTAGAGCAGGATAATGCCACCCGTGTCATCTTTCAGCCACACACACGTTTATTAAAAATCAAACTCTGAAAGTGTTAATTTACAGAAGTTTGGGTAATCCTAGGAAATGACGTGAAAGAATCAAAGCCCACTGTACTGAACCGCACCACACTGCACTGTACACACTGCACAGGAACATTGATAGGAAACTGTGGCTTTATTTTTGGCGGCTGTGTCTTCTGATCTAGTCATTTGTTTATTCAACTGATGCATTTATTATTATTCTGGGCCTCACTGTGGTTAGGGGGATCTACTCCGTTCCTTTAATTTTTAACATACGGTAGTATTTTTGTGCTTGAGACTGAGACTGCCTTTCATTTCTCTCCCTGCCTTCCAGATGGCTCTGGTTTCAAGCCAGAGCCTTCTCTGATGGACTTTGGCCAGTCCAGCCCCGAGGATGAAGACCTGTACAGCACACGCAGCTGAGAACCCACGGCCAACACCAGGAGAAGCCTCGTTCCCACACTGCCATCTCACATTTCATCCAGACTGACAAACACACTATCATAAATGCCATGTAAATAGGCCATTTTGCAAGCATAGTTAGGAAGTCTTTGATCAGCACTTTCTGTTCTCAGCTCTTCTGCCCACATATTTTATATTTCCACAGAAACAGCCAAGTACGTCTGCATTGTAGCAGCAGGGCAGTGGATTCCAGTACATGTAACTGAGTTGGTTTGCGTAGGATGATGAGCACCTGGAAAAAAATACACCCACAACTATTAACCACAACTATTAACAAGTCTGTAATTGACAGATTGTGAAGATTTTCTGTCTTTGTGTAATTTAACAATTACTGTTTTTGTGCAGCAGCTTTCGCTGTCATGAGTGCACGGTGCTTTTATTTATTGTAATCTAACCCACTGCACTGGTAAAGTAAAAGTATTGCTGGTAATGATTGCAAGACAGACTAGTGCTGTTCCTTTTTATTACATCAAAGTTGTCTTCAGTTGTTGATTTAAGAACCCAGAATAAAGCTATATTTTTCAGAAAATTGTTGTCTAGTGAACCTTTAAATACTGGCTTTGTCTCCTTTCTCAAACATCTGCAAATAAAATTGGACACAAATGGTTCTTATGCTAAAACAGCTCAAGTTTTTGTTTTGTCATAAAAAAAGGACATCTCATCTCAATGTGTGGCCCTTAAATTGTCATTTAGTTTCTGTCTCGGTCAAATCACATTAGCACAGGCTTTTCTCCTCAGTAAAACCATTTAACTTGTGTTCCTATAACTAATGAAGTGTACCTGAACACAATAGCGACACGTTGTGATTGTTGACTGTTAATTTGTGAGCTCACAGAAATGACTCTGCAGTGAGCTGTAAATGTACAGTAAAATCTATTAAGTATGAATTATACTGTATATATGAAGTCTGTTATATCACCAAATACTGCTAATCCAGGCTTATGTCAGTATAAAAAGACCGAAATGCATTTTATGTTGCATAAAAAGAAATATATGTCACAATAACATTATATAATATGATGTATGCAAGTTTTGATTGAGCAGATAAAAAAAAAAAAAAATCTTTCTTTTGCATCCATGTGTTGTTAGTCAGCGCCGGTTCCTAAACCCGAGTCTGCAGTGGTCTGGGAGGCCTCAGGGCCCGGCTCAGCCCAGAGAGCTGCAGTCCCAGAGGCAGAGGTGAAATCAGCCGAGTCTGTTCCTGTGTCTGATGAGCCTATTGTCACTGTCACAACAGAGGAGGCGTCATCAGTAACGCTGTCAGAGCTCTCCCCCGTCCAGCCCCCAACAGAGACCAGCACAGGTATTATAGATATTGATCTCTGTCTCCTTGTTTCTCTGTCTCTGTTTAGACTTTTTACGCACTGTAACCCAAAAGCTACTACTGCTGCTGCTGTATTTCCTCTCCTGTCCAGTGGTATGAACTGGAACTTTGCTGAACTTTGGTGACCCTCATGTGCCACAGTGAAATTGATGCCTTTGTTTTCAGTGGAATATCTCAACAGTTGATTTGATCATCATAAAGTGTGTTTCATAGTGTCCACAGGACTTTTCCTCCGTAAGTTATCATTTATATAAAGCCTGAAATATCTTAGCATTTATGATCTAAAAAAAACTAATTGTCAAACTGAAAATAAAGCGTAATTTTCAGTGACACAGTCTGGGGCTTTAAAATCATTAAAAATGCAACAGCAACTGTAATGTCTGTTCAGTACAGGGGGAGCTCGGACAGCTTGAACAACAAATGTGTGTATGAACCCTCGGAATGTAATGCACACAACGTATACCACATGTTTTTGCTTATTTCTGTGCTCACACTGTTTTGTTACTGTGGGACCAGGCTATCTGTTACCATCTTTATAGCCTTTTTACTGCTCCTTGGAGGAACCGGAGCTCAGTACACCTCATAAACTCTGCATGAGGTTGAGCAGAGTTGTGACCCCTGGGACTCTGTGGGTGCATGTGTGTTTGCATGTTTGTGCTCACATATAACAGAAAAAAAAAGAGAGGGAGATGTAATATCAATTAAACATCAATATATTTTTCATTTTATTTACTGTCATACATGGAGAAAAACACATATGGGAACCAGGATCCCTGTGGCATCGGAGGTACAGTTTGTACTGCTGGTTGTACTGAGGTTAAGAGACTTGTGGGCTGGTGTGACTGTGCTACTTTTTGGATGAACTGCCAAATGTTCTGATTAAAAAAAAAAAAAAAAACTCAGTGTCCTTGAGTCATTATCCACCAATAGCATTAATAAAACCACATGGAACATATTGGTTCAGTTCAAAATAGAACCAAGCACAGAGAGAGTGGGAATACTGGAAATCTGTGCGGTCATTTCGTTTCACAGTTGTTTAGGACAGATGGACAGCTTGTTGCTGTAAGCGGAGGGTGACTGTTTCACAGCCTTGTCTCACCTCTCTCAAGGGGTCCCTCTACATATGAGCCCTCCTTTTTTTACATTGTCCCACAGAAGCAGCAGTTATGATAATGTTCTGAGAACCACCGCTCTCAGATTTTTTTTTCTTGACCAGGGCTCATAACCCTGACCTCTCCCCTTTCACCCCCATGAGACAGATTTTCCATAGAGGATTTGCGAGGGTTATGGTTTGTGGTGGTTATCTTCCCAGGGTTCATCTAGCAAGGGAGACCCCCCGCCATCATTTAAACAAATAGCACATTTATCAGCTATAATGGTAAACACAACAATTCTGCATGCCATTTGAGGGTATCTGTAAATACCCTATGTGTACTTGTGTACCTCTTCTTCTCTATGTGTGTGACAGTGTGTGTGTACAGCATGTATACTTGTTTTTTTAACACAATTTCACAATTTCCTGTTCCTGTAGATAAAATCAGATTATACTGTACAGTTTATCCTGTTCCATGACACAAACTGGAACACACTGCAAACAACGCGCACTTACAGTCACCCTGTGCTTTAAAAATAAATTAATTTGTCAGTTTTGCAGACTGCTGATAGGCTGCTTAATATCGGTGTTAACCACTGTTTCCATTACATGCATTATTATAATATTACACTGGCCTGTATAAGTGTAGATTGAGGAAAGAAAAAAACATCAAGTATATAAATATATACAAGTGTGAAAATATAACTGGCTGGGGTGTCCAGCAAGAGCTGTGATGTGCTGATTTGATGCTCTCTGCTCAGTCGCAGTTATTTACTGGCTGTACAGACACTGCCTGTAACTAAGTCTCGGTGTTTGAACCATCGGACAAACGCACGCACAGGCACGTACTCCCACACATGCTCAAACTATTAATCACCCATGGCTCTCAATTTGTGCATGACATTTAAAATCCACAACAATCCAAAAAGCAGCTGTTGAATTTGGCAGTAGAATGAACCCTCCATGTTTTTACATGCCATTAATACCATAATAAGTGAACAAGTATGTACATGTGCAACGCAAGTCAAATGACTTGTCTGTAGATATAATAATGTGAAACTGCCATTCCAGAGAAGACATTAGAAGGCATTTAATGTCTAATATTTTCACTGTGTAGCACCAGTGGAATTAGTACCTACCCCCTTTACTCAAGTAAAACTTGAGAAACTGTAGAAAATATATATACCCTGTTACAAGTAAAAGTCTTCTATTAAGAAGACTAAGCATTAGTTAGCTGATACTAGGCTAACAGCTCTATGAGATTGTAGACAGAATGGTGCTTTAAGCTAATACCAACATGTTAATACGCTCACAGACACTAATGTTAACATCCAGATTTAGAGAATGTATAATTTTTACCATGTTCACGGCCAATTTAGCTTAGGTGCAGCTTCTTTAATAATTATAGTGGAGTAAAACTACAATTCGCTTTCAGTTAAGTAGATGCACAAAGTAGTGGAAATTGGTACAAGTATGTCAAAGTTCTAGTATTCTAGTACAGTAACTGAGTAAATGTACTGTGGGGAGGTAGATACATATTTCTTTTTCATTGTCTGTTTTTGTTGGCCAGCACAACACCATAAATTTCAGTTTTTAGTTGCTGCATGTCATGAATAAGGGCCCTTGGCTTCTCACTCTGTGTGTATGTGTGTGTGTGTGAGAACAACTGTGCATACCCAGCATGCCAGTGGGAGAACGCAGAAATTATGAATTGCATTATCACTGCATTATTTCTGTTTTCGAAAAACACTGCTATCCCATTTTAACAGTTTTAACATTCCTCATTTTCAGCATGTAAGGCAACAAGGGAGCTCTTCATTTGGGGCCTTCAAAATGTTGCTGCTTTCTGTCCCACCTTCATCCCTCATCCTCACCGTCAGCTTTCCCACGACTATTAGAACATGTCACATCTTGATAGATACTTAATGGAGCAGAGTGCGCACATTGCACATCAGAACACACATGTAAAGTAAACAGAGGCGAGCATTTGTGTCACTGCGCCATGCCAGGCTGAGATTAAATACATCCAGTTGCACAATATTGAAGCATAAATGCCAACATGTGCAAGCATTTGCACATGAAGGGATAGATGGATGCTCATGCTGTTGATCAAAAGAGCTGTGATGTAATCAGTCTCAGAGCTTTGCACACATCCCTCATTAACTTCCACCAGACGCTTTAATGAAAAACCACTGGAGGGAAACTCCACTTTCTCTACTCTTCACCCTCCTCTTTCTTTCTCATCTTCTCGGTCACTCCCTGCAGTATCTGCTCGTCCTCCTCCTCATTCATCTTCCACACAGTACCTCCTCCCTCAGCTCCAGTGGCTGGCTTGACTTCCGCTGAGACAGAATGAATATTTCCCATGGCTTATCTGACCACTGGCAGAACGAATATGACACACAGTACCAGCCTCTGTTAATTAACATGCAGCCTCGGGTCCTCAGATCAGAGGCCCCCAGGGACAATTAGGCCTTGTAGTTTGACACTTCATACACACTGGTGTCCTTTTCATTATGGTCAGTAAGGCACGTGGTTGTGTGTCTGCAGTCACTGGAGACACAGCTTTACTGTAACACATCTTGACTTGATTGTCTTGGTTTCAGCCTTTTCTGGTAGAGACTATGGGAGGGAGGAAAAAGGAGGGATAGAATGAAAACAGGGAGAACAAGCTTCTCTTACTCTCTGTCTTTCTCTCTCTGCAGCCTGGCTTGTGTCCAGGCATGTCCAGCCCCTTGGTAATGATGAAGGTGTGACGTGTAGCAATTTTTCTGTTGTGCAATCATCAAGAGGCTCTTGGGGGGCTATAAGACCCCCAGCCTCATCTGGTTTCTCAGTGCCTCCAGTCTGTTTGGTCCACACACACACGCGAACACAGAGGTATGATATGGTCCGGGGTACTCAGCTGTGTGGATTTCTCTTAGAGGAGCCGAGGAGCAAGTTTCAAGGCATGCATTTCAGCGAAAAGATCCAGTGAAAACCACTTTATTGTTTGGACTGGACACCCAATCGCTACTGGTAAAACAAATTCTTTAAACATTTAGAGAATATATATTATATCTGGTTTGATTTAATTTGATAATACGTATCTTCTCTTTTCCACCACTAGTTCAGCTTTCCAACCTTTAATACCAGTTATTTTTTTGCATTAGGAAGTTATTTGGACTTACTGATCGCCTGCTTTCAATTCAATTTGTTGTCTTTTCTGTTATTAATTACACATTCTTCTGGTGTATTGGACTGTAATAGGTTCAGCTCCAGTAGCTTTTAACATTCTTTTGGTGAACTGTTCAATCTAAAATTAAGTTGACACATTTTTCATCTACATCATGAATCTTTTAAAAAACATATTCTGAGGCATCCAATAAACAGTCACATTATTGCAGCCTCTTTCATTAGGCTATTGCCCAACTTCAAGAGTGGTGTAACATTGTTGCTGTGATTAGTTATCAAACAGGACAGCTCATATATGCTTGAGCCAAGACAAGATGGTCATTTGGGAAATTTTTTATTCATCTATAATAGGTAACTGAATTTTAAATGCTTTTCTGTTTTGTTTTATTCCCAGCTGATTGTGGAAAATTGAAAGGAAATAAGTCAAACTGAGTGACGCAAGGGTACATCCTGTTCCATAATGGCAATCACACATGTCCTCTCCCTTTTCAACTCCACCTCATTCCCCGTTTCAACAACAGAGATCTATCCGAACACCTCTGCTCCCCCCTGCACAGACTGGCCTCCTGTATCCATGACCACAGTCATCCCGGCCATCTACAGCATTATCTGTGTGCTGGGAATAGCAGCCAATGCCTTGGTGATGTGCGTGTTGGCCCATGCCAGTGCCTCAAGGACCACCGTAGCTAACACTTTCATGCTGAACCTGTGTGTGTCTGACCTGCTGTTCCTGCTGTCTCTCCCACTGTGGGCTGTCTACTACTCCCGGGGCTACAGCTGGCCCTTTGGCCAGGTTGCCTGCAAAATCTGCGGAGCTCTCCACAACTTGAACCTCTATGCATCCATCTTCTTCATCACATGCATGAGTATGGACCGCTACCTAGCCATAGTCCATCCGTTCTACTCCCAGAGTGCACGAGACCCCAGACGGGCCCGACTCACATGCATCGTGGTGTGGCTTTTAGCATGTGCTTGCTCAGCCCCCACCTTGGCTCTGAGGAGCATGCACTACCTCGAAGGGCTCGGTGTGGAGGGCTGTGTGATCTCCTATCCTGATGATACTTGGTTTCTGACTCTGGCCTGCATGAAGATTGTTCTGGCCTTTCTCCTACCACTGCTTGTCATCTGTTTTTGCTACTGTGCTGTTGGTATACATCTGTTGGCTGATACGGGGCTGGCAAGAATGCAGAGTACATCACACTCCCTCAACATGCCCTCTTTTAAATCACTTGAGTTCAAGGAGAGCTGCAGTAAACCAGAGAGACCTCCAACCCCCTGTGTGAACCTCAGCTCCAGTGGGAGCAGAATCCTGGAGGGTAGGGGGCTGGAGCGGGTGTTATGGACTGTAGCTGCTGTGGTCCTGGCCTTCTTCCTCTGCTGGTTCCCCTTTCACTGCGTGACATTCATAGAAGTGCTGGAGAGTAAGGGCTGGCTGGACAGCTGCTGGGTAAACTGGACTATCCTCAATCTCACCCCTCTCACCCTATGCTTGGGCTTCTCTAACTCGGCCATTAACCCTGTGCTCTATTGCTTTGTCGGGAATCATTTCCGTGGCCGACTCGGTGGCCTTTGGAAGGACCTCTGTGCTTGTTTGAAGGCCCGTGGGGAAAATCACAGTCAGAAGAGGGGCTCCTTCAGCACTAGACTGAGTTCCAGCTCTCGCAAACTCAGTGACCTGAAAGACCTGGCGACTGTGGAGCCCTCTGGTTCTGCCTAGGCAGCTCCCAGAGGACAGACTTTCCCTTACCCCAGAGAATGAATGTCAAATGACTGCTGAACTCCAGTAAGCATGGATGTGTGAGATGGTGCTGTTACTATAATTGACTGAGTCAAATTCCAGCAGAGCACAGTACTGCCCTACAAAGCTAGAAAAAGTAAAGTGAAAAGTAAGAAAAGATAAAGATGAAAAAAAGTGTACCAACATCTGTGTAACAAACAGTGAAACTCTAAATTTAATTTCTTTTAATGAAATTATTTGACACTCCGGCTTTGGAAATTTCAAAGTGGCCACACACCAATGTGAAATCAATGTGAAAAGTATCACTGGTAGTGATGAATTATCATGTAAATCTCCAGCTCTACTCAGCTTTACACAGTTTTATATTGAGTGTCAGCTTATTGTCGAGCTGCCCAGCCCCATTGTTACAATTTTGGTTCAATCACACTGCTTTCATAGTGTCATTTGTAGTGACACCAGGCAGCTATTTTCAGCAGAAAAGTCATAACACCCCCCCCCCGAACACCTTTGCAGGACCAAACAGCTGACCACAACCTAGCTGGTGAAGAAAGTGGAGCATTTAGCAACTATAAAGACAGGAACTGGTAGAGACTATACACTGAGCTAAAAGAGAATGAATATTGGACATCTATTCATCAGGTGAGCATAACTGCTGGATGTGTAAATAAGCAACTGTTTGTTGTCTGTATCCATTTGGCTTAAAAGGTGATAATATGTCAGTGTTGTGTTCACAACCTGTTTCCACTGCACTCAAATGGCCAAGGAATAATCTGTCATTGTTGATTTAAAGGTGCAGGAAACATCTGCACCTACAACTACTCTGCTAAGCTAATATTTTAGCATGCACCAGTTTTGTTGCTTTTCCTTTCTGTGTTTCTTCATCAATGATTTGTCAGTTATAATTGATACCAGGCGGGGAGTGACTTAGTTTTACTGTAGTGTAGACTAGCTGTGGCTCTCACCAGCAAGCTTTAGCTCAACATTGCACTTCTTAGCTTTGTTTTGTAGTTATGCTAACTTAATGTTGTTTTGTCTCAAATTATTCATTTCTATGCTATGATAACAATATTATATTGAAACAAACATCAACAAGTCATATTCTGCTATTAGCTAGCTCACTTTCAACCATATTTATAGTTACTGCGTTGTATGGGAGAACAGGCTAAAAGATTAAAGAGATAAAACTATATAACTATATAAGGGACTAGTGGGTTTTTTTGGGGGGGGGGGTAATTATAAAAGTAGTTATGTAATTTGTAACCTTTTTTTTTAATTCTGTTGACAGTTTGGAAAAATAAACATTACTGGATTTCTGTGAATAAGTAATAAAGGCAACAAATAGTTCTCTATAGATGTCATTTCCTTGTTTGAAATCATTATCTCTACTAAAATTGGACACCTGTTGCATAATTCTGGTCCAATTGCACTCATGAACTGGTTTTGTGAAATCCACTGCATTTACAACTTTATGCTCCTTTTCCCAATCTTACCCTCTAACAGCTGTGAGTGAGAGCTGCCCCCTCTTGGGAATATGAATGCTGGGATTACTGTCGGCCTGGCAGATGGACGTTCAGCCCCTCTCCCCCATTTCCTCCCCTTCCAGAGCGCCTCACATGGATTCCGAACATATCAATACCAGACATCATATTGTCATATTCATATCCTTATGATGCATTCCAGTCAGGCCGCTTGCGTTGGTTGAGGGAGCAGCCAGCTAATCAATGATGTATCTTTGTCTGCTATTTGTGTCCAGTATAGATCCACTGCTTTCTGCATTGGCCCTGACCTGCCTCTGTGAGCTGAGCTGAGAGCCAATGGAGTATGGTGTAATGTTTACAGTGGTGAAAGCTTGGGATTATTGTACACACAAAGAAGCAGAGATTTTGTTCATGTCTAAATACTTTATCATTTTAAATTTTATACTTAGAACCCAGATGGATGTTTCAAATTACTATGCCACCCAAAACAAAGGGACATCTCCCCGAAGGGGGCTTCCAGTCTTTACTTTAAGCTTGCAGTAGATCATCCCTTGTTAATCTTCCAGATTTTGACACTGGATGGCGATAAAGTGCTGTAGAAGCAGTAAGTACAATGCCACTGGCTGCTTACCCAGGCAGAGACCCTCAGTCCCGCCACTCATGATCCTTCCAAGCTGTGAGAAAGATGCCTCAGACAGACCGATGACTCATGTAGGCTACAGTTCAGCATGTATAAAAACACACATCCTCAACAAATGCTGCATTAAACTGAGCCACAGGTTCAGAGAAAACAGTGAAGGGTCGAAGCTCATGGTCTGCCTTTCTGAAGTTGTTTTAGAGAAACACTTGGAAGGACAGAAGGACTCACTGTAACCGTGATTGTGTTGTGAATGAATAGCATCAAAATCCAGAATAACACACATCTCAACGTGTCAGATTATCCTTAAATACCAGATGCTGTGCTATCACATTGGTAGAATGTGCACATCATGTCAGTGCAGTAAACCATCAATGTTTTAATCAGCAGATCCTTAATTTGACACAACAGAACTCTCTGACAGACAGGACAGATTGCAGAATGAATCTGTTGCTGCTCCACAGTATGTTCATGCAAACATCTTCACAAACTGATGCCTCACTTCGCTGTAGAGCAGGTGTGACTGTCCCTGACACATGTTTAACAGCAGAAAGGCCAGTGACATGTTACTAGGAACATGTGTTACACAGTGTAGATATGTGATGAGAAGATGTATGCTGAGAAACTATAGGCAGCTGCTGTAAACAGGAGGCACCAGACCTTTGGCTTGACTGCCATAAAATGTCTTTCTGTCACATATTGTATATCATTAATCTAACACTGACTAGGCCTCAATGTCAATCTTATTGCACATTTAAGTAAAGAAATTAAAACCAGTGCAAATATTTTTCTTTCAATTTTGGCAGTGGTAAAATATAACAGCACAATTGCTCAAGAACTCGAGGCACTTGTTCTTTACTTTATTCTTCTGCCATTAAATATAGCTGCATCTGGGAAACTGTGAATCTTTTATTAAAAACATATAAGCTTATAAAGTAAAATGGGCTGATAATAAAAAAAAACAATAATTGTCAATGTTTTAAAATAAAATCAGTATGTAGTCCAGGCTTCTAGTCATAATTTAAATTTATATAAGTTGTTAACAGTCAAAGCTATAATAATTTTAGAAAACTGTTTGTGGGATGAAGACAAAAAAAAAAATCAAATTTAAATAAATAAACTGCAATCTTAGAAAAGTCCAAAAATGTACACATTTTAAAAACTAGTTCCATGTCAATAACAACTTAGTAATATCATACATAATAATATAAAAGTAAGACGGAATCTTTTTCTGTAGAAGATGTACATTTTGCTTATAATACTTATTAAGTAGGATTTTGAATGCAGAACTAACCTGCAATGGACTATTTGACATTCAAGGATCTGAATACTTGTTACACTGCTGAATTTTGCACAAACACACACCATACTATACCTTATTATTCATGGAAACTTTGGTGAAAATAGACACTGAAAGTGAGGTCTTGTTAATAAGAAAACAAAGAGATGCCTCCAGATAATTGGGCAAATAAACAGTATACATCTCTGCATAAGTAGATATACATTTTACTGTGAAAAGGGTGGTATTGCTTTTTTTATTCCTCTCTTGTGCTTTCTATTGTTGTGGAAATATTCAGTTAGAATCTTTGAAGTTATTTCCTGTCGAAAAATACCATCATTTCCTGAGAGATACACAAACCCACATTTTACGTGATCGCACATGCGTGTGTCTTACAGAGACAGGGAGACTGTGAGCACCAAGACATAAAGGTTAGAGGTTAGAGAAAGCTGTTATCAGCCTGGGTAAGAAAGTGGAAAATCTGAGCACTCTCTCTCCAAAGCTCAGACTCACCCAGCAGACACTGGAAACGGCAAGGAGCAAGTATCAGATGAGAGTCTGGACAGCTGCCTTACCAGTGTGCCCAGTGTATACAGTGAAGAGCAAAAGGCTGCCTGCGGTGAAAAGCTGAAGACAAGAAAGAGAGCAAGAGAAGAGTCAGCACTTGGGAGCAGAACAGAAAGCAGACCTGGAAGCTGCAATGGAAAGCCTGCCTGTCTACCATGGACCAATTGGCAAAGAAGAGGGGGAGAGGCGACTGGCCCAGGACGGCCGGGATGGGTGCTATCTAGTCCGCAACAGTGACTCTGTGCCAGGAGTCTTCTGCTTGTGTGTGCTGTGAGTATCAATACAGATTGTGCAATATCTCTCATTGTGCTGCTTCTTTACTGAAACCGGAATAATCCCATTAACACATAATCTTATTTTCTGCTATAATAGAGATTATTGATCTATTCACATGTAAGAAAATAAAAGTATTAAAGCATAAACAAATCAACTGACTCCTACAGCAGCAATAAAGAAAGGACAAATACGTATTTCATAAAACGGAAGGATGAACTCAGAGTCTAACATGTCTCTGTGTGTGTGTGTGTGTGGTTTTGTATGTGTATGTATGTGCAGGTACAATGGATATGTCTACACATATAGACTCCACAAGGACGATGCGGGCTCATGGGCTGCAGAAGTGAGACTTTTGATCTATTTTTCTTGCTTTTTATTCTGCTCTGACTCTTTTGACACTCCAAAAACTTTACAGAACAAGCACAACTGCACATCCACTTCACACTGGTTGTTGCTTATTAGTCCTAGAGGTTGTTTTGGTGCCAGCCTAATTGATGAAGCTGTGAATATGAGGCAAACATGCTTTTTTAAAATTTTTTTGAGAATTGAAAACACTGAGAAATGAGTACATTTCTATTCCTTTAGCAATGTCACCCTCTAAGATAGTCCTCCCATCCAACCACGCTTCAAATTTAAGACGCCACAGCGTCAGCATATACTCCAGAGATGGGAAACATAGAATTACATTTGACAGCATTTCTGATTGCATATGTAATTGAGTACTGAGGTTTGGCAAATGTATAGCAATATCTGAAGGCTGTCTCCGACGGCTATGTGACATGCTGTTGTGACTACATTTCACTCTTGTACACTTTTACTGACAGCATCAAGACAACAGAGAGGGAGAAGTCTTGAATTACGCAAATTTTACTACAAGCTCAATAGAGGTTTACATTATTCATGTGCAATATCAATCACTTTAATGAAATATTCTTGGGCACAGAGATGACGCCTGTGGCCGGAGACAGAAACATGCTGTGGGGAGTGCTTCCTACTTTTGATTAAATCTCTGTTAAAACCCATTTAAAGAGCAAGATTTTCACCATTTCATGAACATTTCACAACATGATTGATATAACAAAATCGAAACACATAATACTTTTTTTAAAGTCCTTACTTGACAAAACTATCATACTTTGAATGGTATAAAGCTTTATATGTTAGAGATGTTAAATGTTAAATGGATAGCTGTGGAAAATTGATGTGTGGAACTAGATATGATGCAAGATTACATTAAAGATCCTTGACAACGTTGGATTTCACTAAAGCCAAATGAAAACTGCAATGCTACGTAAAACCTTATTAAATCAAGCTTATTAAGCTAATAAACAATATATTTTATTTTTGTTTAAGCCAAAGATCACTTCTAAAAATGATCTGTTTTTTTGCTTTTACTCAGTCACAAGTAAAGCTGTCAAGATAATGAAACAATTGAAGCATCTTACATTCACACAAAAATCCCAAAATAAATGTAACCTGTTGAATAGCAAAATATATATTTTTTAAATCTCAGGGGACTGAACAGTTTCAGAGGCAACTGCATCCTGAATTTAGCTTTATATATTTTCTACAATAGTTTTTGAAGTAATTCTAAATTTACTTTCTTTTGCATCATCTTATTCATTGATATGTGTCACATTACTGTCTTGAACACAGTCAGTGTGGATCAGTAGACCAGATACTTAAAAAGAAAATAATTGGCATGGTTCCCAACCCATCCCTTTGCACAGTGCACTTGTGTTTCTGTACCTTTAGTGTATCGGGTATCTTTTATAAGGTGAATCTCTGAGAGCTCTTTTCAAGTTGGCCACGTCTTCTTCATTTCCCCCATGGGGTTTGCTGTGGAGATGGAAATGGAGACACTGAATTCTCCTCTGCGTTTTTTTTACTTCTTGTCTTTCAGACCACTCCTGGTGTGCAGAAACGATATTTCCGGAAAATCAGGAACTTGATAGCAGCTTTCCAGAAGCCCGGACAAGGAATTGCCATGCCTCTGCTCTACCCTGTCACCGCGCAGAGTCGGGCGCACACAGACAGAGAGGAAGAGACGTCCAGTAATAGCCTGTCACCTACACACAACCACCCAAACACCTACTTCCCGCAGCCACATGCTGCTCAGGGACACAAAAACAGGAACAAGAAGGGGATGCAGCAAGCTCTTGGTTAGGGACAAACCCTTGGCTCGTCATTGACCTAATTATGAACTAAAACGCAGACTTTGCATGATGTCTACTTTTGCATCGTGCATGCTGTGCGTTTGAAGTAATGTGACTTTTTTCCAACTAAGCGGCTCCTGTTTGTTACATTCAACTCATTTAGGCTCTAGCTGTGACTCAGATCTCACTATCCTTCTGTTATCTTTCTTTCTGCATGTGTGCCACACAAAGTGCTTCATAACTTTCAGGGATGCGATGTAAAATATTCAGCTGCTGAAACATTAATATCTATTACCGCATACATAAGTTGACAACAAATATTGTGCTCTGTTTTCTTAATGCAATTCAGTTGTGAATAGCTAAGAAAATAAATTATATCAGTTGAAATAAACTCTTTTAAATGAGGTCATGCATACACAGCCAAACACACCCAAGCCTCCGTCTGACATATAATGTAGAACCAAAATTCAATTTGACACATTGAAGTAGTGATTTCAGTGGAGTGAGTGCTGACTGCTGGAGAGGGTGGGGGAGAAAGCTGTCAATCATCTGAGTGGCATTACTGGCTCCTCGTGAAATAAATGAGCAAGAGAGTTAGAGAAAAAGGAGAGAGAGGGAGCATCCATTCAACCCAGGCAATTCTTCAATGCAGCCGTCTCCTAGCAACCGGACCCTCCATCTTTTCACCGCCGAGATGAGGTTGGACAGTATCTAGCGGAGCATATGGTTTAGAAGGGAAGGTGCATCGCAGCCGATCAGCAAAGTGCTAGTCAGGAAGGTATATCACCTGCTCGCAGTCAGAACATATGCATTGTGTGGCTCTGTCATCCACAGCCCAGGAGAGAAACACAAACAATTAATGGTGGGCAGATGGTGGAGTGACGATGGGAGGGAGGCGAGCGGGGGATAGGCAGACGGACGGGGAGGTGGATTAGTGGTAGCTTGATTATATAGAAAAAAAAAGGAAAAACAAACAAACTTCTTTAGTTTTCTTTTTTTTTAACTTTTTTAGTGGGGAGAGGCTTGGAAGTGGTTCACATGGAGCCTGATTGGCATTTCCTAATGAGAGGAAACAAGCTGTAGCGAACGGCACAGCCAACTCCAGGTCCTGCCCCTTCTGCACTCACCACCCACTCACTGAGCCTCAGCTGTCACATTTCTTTTTCCCTTCCTCTGTGCCATTTTCCCCTTCTCTCCTCCCCCTTCTTCTTCTTCTTCTTCTTCTCCTCTTCTGACAGACATGTTTCTCATGCATATCTCAGTTGGAGCCATAATGATGGGTGATAATGACAGCACAGATTTGAAAGTTACAAACTCCCAGAAACAAGAACAAAGAGTGCACAACAAATGTGTGGAGGGAAGGCGAAGACACAGAGAAGACATGAGAGATGGGGAGAGAGAAAGAGAAATGATAAACAACAATACCAATGAAATACACAGAGCAATTGGGTAGTCCACACATAATAACTTTAATCAGCATTGTAACCCAATAAAGTCAGATTTTTCAGCGAGAATATTTACTATAGCCATGTATAATTCTTTGCAAAAATGTAACTGTTTTTCTATTGATTAACAATACTGACACTTACTTATGAACAACAGAATTTCCAGTTGAGCACTTTTTTCAGTGTGAAAACACTGGCTATGTACATTCTTGATTTTAGTATACACACTCATACAAACTACTGTTGGAGCACACCAGAGGCAGAAAACCCAAGGAGGTTCCCTTCTCTAAAGGGGAGTGTCAGAGTCGACAAGGCCTCTCTTACACAATATGTAAACGGTAGTATATCCGAGGTAAACCATGTAGGAACTCAAATGGCAACTGGAGAGCTCTTGGTTTGAGTCATGAAGAGGATTATTCACTGGCAATCCTAAAGTCTCCTTGTTTCTACGCTTCAGTGAGTTTGAACAGGGTTCAAAATGTTGAAACAGTGTTGAAACAGCAAATGACAAACAGTAAGTTGATCAGTCAGTCGGTCAGTCAGTCGGTCAGTCACAGGCCAGTCGGGATACAAAAAGCAAAGCCACAGCCAAACCACACTGCTTGTGCCACTGTTAGAAATTGGAGAAACTTGACGATAATAATAAAATACCATCATTTTGTCACAATTAAAGGCATTTGGAAATCACGTTTTCCCCCAGTCTCTCTTCTTGTTCTTCTTTGTCGTCTTCTTTTTTTGATACAGTATAGAAACAGTAGAACAAATCAGAGTAGAGTAGAAACAGGCAGTCTTTGGTGGGGTGGGGGGCTGCACGTGTGTCTCTGTTACCTGCCCCCCACCTCGCTCAGTGTCATAAAGTGGACGTTGGAGGGGCAGTCGGACAGCTCCGGCTGCTGCTCTATAGGCAGGGAGTAGTAGCCGTCGTAACCCTGAACACGTCCCCCGGACAACAGCTGCTGCTTCTCCGCCTCACTCCATGCCCTGCTCCCCACATCCCCTAAATCCATTCTTTTCTTCTCCTTCTCCCATGCCCCCTCCACCGCTCTCTTCCTCGCCTCCTCCTTTACCCGTGCCCTCTCCTCCTCCTCATTCCCGCCGTAGCGCACGCATAGACACAGCGCCCCCTGCTGAAGAGTGATATCGGCGAATCGTCGAGTTCTGCCGTTCACCATGGCACTCATCTGAGACACGCTCACGTTCACACCGTTCTCCAGGATGCGGCCCCCGACCCCTAACCCCAGGGCAAGGTCTTCCTCGATTGGCCGAGACTGGAGGAAGTGGTGGGTGTCACAGCCATGCACTGTGAAGCTTAGCCCACTGAGGTGAACGGCGCCATTCAAAATGGCTGCCACACGGCGACTGTCCTCGCTGGCCACACCGATAACTTCAGCGCTGACTCGGCCGTGGGACACGGCAAATCGGATGCTGGGGCCAAGAAGAGAGGATCTCGAGCCGAAGGGAGGAGGCCCGGTTGGCCTGTGGCAAGTTGAGCCAACAGGCCCTGAGACCAGAGGTAACCTGTCCAGAGAGATGAAACTCCTCAGCTGTCGCCGCAGCTCACACTGGATGCCCAGAACCACCTGGGGAAAAAAGTTTCATTGTTAACAGATCACTTAAAAGCTTTAATGCACTTTGATAATGTAAACTGAGAAGCTTACAATTGATTCTTTTTACAGCAGACACTTTGACTTACTGTGACAGGAAACGCACAGGTGTATCTAATAACACTAATGATAGCTCTGTTCCATTTGTGTGTTCCAGTAGCTTCCTGAACACAGAGGACACTGGAGGATAAGTCGCAGTAAAATAAAGCACAGGTGTAAATAATTAAACTAATGATGGCAGAATTCGATTTAGCTGCTGCACCATCCTAGTATTGGTCATGTTGGTTCACTGTCACTTTGCTCACAGGGACAGAACAGAGCCACTGTTTATGGTATTAGTAAAACCTGTGCGTTGCCAAACCAAAGGAGAATACAGTCATAATTAATGTTATTACTTACACCTTACATGCCTTCAATGTAAATGAATCAACCACCATAGCTGTACATTTAATTTTTTTACTTTCTATTGACCACTTGGTTAGGCAACTAATCACTTCAGCACTTATACTAGAAAAACATTCTTATTAAAAATGGTGTTGATTTCAGTTATATTACCTATTAGGAAGAGCCAATCAAGTCCCAAAAGCAGCCACAATGGCACTTAAAACTACTTTAAATATGGACCCATAAGGAGGCCCAAAATATTCAACACTGAATAAATAAACGAGTAACTCTGAAGAACTAATCACTTAAAGTATATTAAAAATACTTCTATTAAATATTAGATCATTATTGATTTCAAATACGCTTTCTCTTAATTCATATATTTTCTAATGACATTTTAATTTAACATCACATCTTATTTCCGTGCCATATTTTATTTAATAATGTTACTTTTCCTGACAATAGAGTTGTCAACATCCCTCGTCTTTCAGCCTGTCACACGGTGCCAGCCACTCTTAAGCAGGCTCGGCAGCTGCTACCAAATTTAGCACTTAGCTGGGTGACACGAACGACTAATGACATCCAAAAAATACTGCTCTGCTGGTTATTATGACCCAGAAACTCAACAATCAAGTGTGGTTTTAAATTATATTTAGCTAGTTGCCCCAAAATTATATTTGATTTAGGGGCAACTGTGATACATTTGTATATAAATAACTGACTGAATGAAAGAAAAAAAAAAAGAGTAAAAATACTACACAACTGCTGTACACAAATAAGACAGGAACACAAGATTAGAACTTGGAAAAAGCCTTGTTAGTGCAGTTGAATGAGGTTTGTAGAGGTTGAAACTCACCTTGCTGGAGTCCCAGTCCTGTGGCCTGGTCTGGGTCTTCATTAGTTCATATGTTTGCTCCATTCGGCCCACTTCAGGCTTCGGGAAACCCGGGATGACATTATGAAGCTGGAAACCAAATAGCTGTAGCCAGCTGCCGATGTCTGGACACACATGCACAGGATGAGAGAAAATTACACAGGGGAAGAAAGGTGGAATTGAATGTGTATACTGTGAAGCAAACAAAAAGTCATAAGGCCAAGAAAACAACACCTAGTAGAGGAAATCACACAATCTATGAGAACAACACGCAGCAGAGCTGCTACGGCTGGTGTTTCCCCTCACAAACAGAAAAACATGACAGACCCAATGAATGTTTCATTAACCAGAAGGACATATGCCCCCACTGACATCCTGCATTCATCCTCCTACTCTCCTATTCCATCTCTT